TCGGTAATAGTATAGCTGTACCTGGAAGAGCTAAATGGAAATAAAATTGCAGAGTCAGTTTCAGCTCTGTCTAACACTTGTCTAAATCACTGAGCTTTTTCTAAGAGACCTGACAGATGTTTGAATAGTCCTTTGGGCTGGGGAAGATTCTTCTTTTGAATTGAAAATATTTTCAGTCTTTTTAAACTTCCTCCTATTTTATGCACTAGAAGTTTAGAAATCCTGAAGCACTTCAGTAAGAACAACACACTTCTGTTTGGTCTCAACATAAATGAATTTGAAAATCTGTGCCTAGCAACCACAACAACAAAATGCTATTGGTTTGAGTTTTGTTTTTTTCAGTAACACAACTTTAAGATTGAGCATCTGATGGAGGGAATGATTCTTCAAAATTATCTTTGAGCCTCACTCTAGAAAGGGGAAGTTTTCCAGCTGTGTCAAGCTATGTGCTTGAATCTTCAAGCATTTTGACAGTTTTATGTATTTTCTCCCTGCCCGTGTGAAATCACGAATTTCCTACTGAGGATGTGATTGCAAGTTCACTGAGCTGAGAGAATTTTTCTGATTATAGATTCAAGCCCTTTGTAAAGGTATTTACTCTAAAGAATGTGCAGAACCTTTCTTAAAATATGCTTATAGTTACCAAAAGAATGTATGCATGTGAAACATTCAACAGGAATGAACTGCTGCTGCTGCTCCAGCTCTGAAAAAAGACTGTACTGAGAAAGAAACTTTGCCAGATGACACCAGGTCGTGAAGTGCTTTGTGAGAAATGTCTTGGCCTGTTCTAGTTACTGATGAAATTTGCTTTCCACTTCAGTAACGCCAAAATTTCACAGTTGGATGATGCCCTAGAGATTATCAAGAACACTAAGAAAAATTTCCCATCACCTCTGATTAATTACCCAGAGTAACAAGTGTTCCCCTGGGCCATGTTTTGTCTCAGCTATAGATAAGCACTGCTGTGTGAATTTTAATGAAGTGCAAACTCCGTAGCAAGTAGGACAAATTCACCACTGCACCATGTGGTCCTGTTGGCAACCTGGTAATATAAATCTAGAATAATAGCAATTGCTCTATAATATAATAGTGCTAAGAACTTTAAGGTTACTGATTCAAGTGTATTTTGAGGTGGGAAGGATGAAAGGAGAGGAGAAACACACTAAAAGAGCTTCAGCAGAAATTACTTTAATGTATAAGAGTTATTTGTAGAGGAAATCATGGACTATTGGCAAGAGCACGATATCTATGAAAAATCTCCAATACTGAATACTGACTTTCTTTTCTTGTTAAATTTTTCTTAAGTATTTATTTTTTATATTTTTCTACTAGTTAGTGCATTTAAAGTTTTTACTAGTGTCCATGAAAATATACAGTAGGTTATCCAAAACAGATGTGATTTTTCAATTAAAATAAAGTACTCCTGTGTTATAATCAATATGTTACAACATATAATTAACTCATGAATATCATGATCACATCAGGTTAGTACATTGAGAATTATTCATAGAAGTTAGAGCTGCTGGTAGATTTGGGATGCATGTCCTTCACTTGGTTAAACAGTCATTGTCTTTCCCAACATACCTTGCCTTGCTTATATTCCCACAACTGAAGAAGAAAAAAAGTATTTGTTTAGCAATGCAAAGGAAAATTCATTTGGGACATATTTTTGTGTTGCCAATTTATGTGTTTCAGTGTCTTTCTTCCTCCTTTTTAGCCCTAAGCTGAAGCACAGCTTTGCTTAAAACTGAAGTGGAGGGTGTATGCATTTTGAACCTTTTTTTTCCTGTTATTTGTACAGAACACAAGTTTGAAAGAGCTGGAATAATAGAGACACAAGATTCTCCAAAAAAACTGGATTGTTTCAAAACTTTGCATAGACTTGTCTGTAATCCTCTAAGAAGTCCTCTGTGAGTAGGGAAGCATAATTTGTCTCTTTACAGATAGTAAACACAGAAGTGGAAAAGCTACACAACTGTAAAAACAGACAGATGGTCCCTAATCTTTGATACGACAAAGGATCAAGGGTGGTGGTGGAATAAAAGAACAACCTAAGCAAACAAACCAAACCAAACAAAAAGAACCCAACCCAAAACAATTGCCAGAAGACCTATCAGGTTTACTACTGAGTTTATCCAGGGAAAAGCTTTGATGATTCACAAGTGGCTATTAGCTGCCAGTCTTTTCACTTTGCTTGCTGTGCATGTAGTGCTGCCCATCACCTGTTGTTAATTATAACATCCTATAAATCTAATGTTAGAAGACTAGCACTGGGACACAGTGCCTGCCCTGGCTTAATGGACACTCTAGGAAAAAAATAATTTTTCAAAAATTTATTCCTGGACGAGCTTCTATGAACCTGGCATTGTTATGAACTGATACTTCTATTAAGAAAAACACAAGTGAGTGCCTTTAAACAAATAAGGTGCTGGCTTTGTACAATCATTGTGATTTCAAACACCATATCAAAAACCACTATGATGGGAAGTTATCATTTAATAAATCAAAAAAGCTTACTTGGTAATAAATATTTTTCTTAGAAACCACAATATTCTCTTTTCTATGGATCATATGACTTTCCAGTTCCTTAATTTTTTTACATTACTGGAGTAACAAAGGAACGTGGGAAATAACTCTGCATGGTGAAATCATTCAGTTAAGCCATGCCTACACTGTGGTTAGAACAACTTAAAAACATGTGATTTCAGGCATAGGTGATCACGTTATTCCCTTTTTCAGGTAGCCACAAGTTACTGGCTGAATTGGACAGTGCTACCTTTCTGAGATAAGGAAAGTGTTCAGTTTTGACTAAATAATTTAAATTTAACTTCTTAGCTTTGTATTCTACAAGAGGGTGAGCAGTATTTCCATCTCCAATATGGGAAATAGTTTCTTGCCTGTATGGGCTCTGAGCATCAAAAAAACCACAGCTAACTAAAGAGGGCGATGAATTGCTGCTATTGACACTGTTCTATGTTGACTGATATTAGGGCAACTTCCACTTATATTGATACATCAGCCTTTGTAGTTAGCAATGAAAAGAAAGCCAGTATTTAAAATAAGCATGAAAGAAACTGTACAAAGACATAGATTCTGCTCTCAGTGACAGCAGTCTAAATTCAGATTTGGTCTAGACACAAGTACTGTAAAGATTTGCACATAAACATCTATAAGAAACATACTGTTGCATTTACACAGATGTATTCTCACATGTAGAATAACCTGCTGACATAAAATATCAAACTGACTGGCATCTATCTATTGACATTACCACAGACTATCAGGTAGTCTTAAATATGACTTAAATATGTGACAGGCTTTGCTGGAAACATATCTGCACTTCTATACTTGATATACAAATACATATGTATTTGTATATCAATTCACACATAAGTAAGTTTCACCTAAAGAATACAAGTAATAAATTCTTCTGTAATACTGCTCTGTACAAGTCCTTCAAGTTTTCCAATATCTGCTAAGAAAGGCATAAAAAAGTTTATACAAAGTCAGAAGAATCACCTTGTTTTACTGGAATCCCTTTTATGATGCACTTCTCATGTAAAGACCACCGTATTCTTCCATTTTTTGGTTCCACAATTATTCAATATTCTGAATTTTTGTGTTCATGAGTGTGAGATTCTTTTTCTAATAAAGTGCAATGTGGATATGAATGTATTTGTATAACTTCAATGACTTACTGGCTCTGCTTGCTGGTAAAAATATGGTTTTGATTATTCTTAAAACTCTTGATTCAACCTGCTTTGGGAAGTTGAGCTATATTGTTTTTCACTGTTCATATGACATGGTGTACATTCTAGCTGAGATCCAAGGTACTGTACAGTGGACTCACATCAAAAGAGAAACTGGTGCAGCAAACATTGATTGGAAGTGGAAATGTAACTTAAGGAATATTAATAACAGAAAGGTATTGAAATCAGAGTTCTGGGTTTAGGCAAACAATTTCTCAGCAGTCCAAAGTGCTGGTTTAGGAGACGGATAGGACAAAAATTGCTGAAAATATATAAGAAATATGAAGCCTTGGAAAAAAAATAAATTGGAGAATCATTTGTTTTACAGACAGGCTTTAAATTACCTCAAAGAACTATGTTCCATGTTGGTTACTGTTTTGTAATGGAATTCCTGTACTTTGAAAGCAAACGTGGAGCCTGCAGCAGCTTTGTTAGATATAAGAATATATTCTATCCTCTAGCTGATCTTCCTGTGCTCCTAGCTCTGCATTTTATTTCTTTTTGTCTGGAGTGGTGATTTGATGACAACCCATTTAAATCTTCAGGATTCTTGTTAATATACTATGAATGTTGTGCAATGCTATTAGGGAAATGGACACAAAACTGACAGTACCTTCATCACTGGTGTGCCAGGAAAGGAAAAGATACTTTCTGAAAATCTTCTTTACGTAACTTGATTCTGAAGTTAATTATATCTCTACATGCTTATGGGCAAGCCTCAGAGCCACCTGCTTAGGTTGTATTTTTTTACTACAATTCTGCAGCTGAGTGCCTTCCTGTCTGCATCCTCAGCTGCATGCTCCTGTAACACACTGTGCCTACAGCATCCCTGTGCTGTTAGCAGTTCCACTCTCGAGGGAAAATGTGACACTGCTGACCAGTGACTGGTGGGCTTTCAGAAAGGCACTTTTCCTGCTGAGTGAGTCATATTTATGAAGTAAACCACTGTAGGAATGCCTATCCCAATGAGAAGAAACTGATCTCACTTTGTGTCTGAAAAGAAGATTATGTCCTCAGCAAAGCCTCCCTCTCTCAGAATACCCTGACATCTTCTGGCTTTGTGAGTGGAGAAGTTCTCATCTCTGGCTAGAGGTCAGCATTCTCATGTAGTTTCTACCTCTTGTCTCTGAAGATTTTTGACAAGATAGGTCCTTTATGATGGCAATAATTTTTCTTAGGAAATGGAACTTAGGTGTGTTAATTACATTGTTTCAGCATTAGACTTTTTCATTAATTATGTCAAAAAATTACCTCAGTTTAATAGAGAAGACCTTCACTATATCAATTCTGATATTCAGACTCCACATCCAGTAATGAAGAGATCATAACAGTGCTGAGTATCAAATCTGAAGGATTCTGACAATCTGCATTTTCTTTTCTAGAAAGAGAAGGAAGAAAGAATATATGTTAATATCCTTCAAAAAGGCAAAAAGAGATTTTTGACTTTACTTGAATAAATAAGCTACTCACAGTTTATTTTATTTTCTTACTTTAAAATTTTTGACATAATCAGGCATTAATACATGAAATAAACATGAAACAGCCCAGGAAATTTGTTTAAAACTGTTGCTCAAGTTACAAAGGCACTATGAACGGCTTTTATTTTGGTTTGTTATGTTTTCATGTGTAATATCATCTGCATTCCTTCACTATGCTTTGATGCAGCTCTATAATTCACTGAAAACTGTGTTATTTTCTCACTGGACTACTTTGTATATTACAAAGGATCATTCTTTCTCGTTGCACACAACTAGTTTTTCTCTCCTCAACAACAGTAATTTTCAAGCTTGGTCAGAATTTTAAACAACCAAAAGCTGGAAAGATGAGAGAGAAAATTGAAATAATGTAAGCTCTGGTTTATCACAAAATACCAGACAACAAATTGCATCAACCAAACCCTAAAACCAAAGTAGTTTTTCCCCTGCCTCATAAACGAGTAACAGTCGACAGCTCTGGAATGTGCACTCCTCTCCTATGAAAACATTTTTCCACTCTGCCTTTTCCAAAATTCAGAAGTTCAAAGCTAAACTACTACATATTATAAAAGAACAAATTTACCATGACACTTAAACAAAGACATGAGTCAGTGTATTCAGATTTCTTGAGGGAGGAAGGAGTTATGTTTCTTGTTAAGGCAAGGTTTGCAGTAAAGAAGTTATTTTTATAGTTTTATATATCTCCTTATAATTATGTATTCACACAGATGTTCTGTTTTACTGCACAGTTAAAGCTGTAATTCATGCTCTTTTTGTAATGGATATATTAATTGAGGTTTACAACATTTCTCCTCGGAAAGCAAAATATTAATATCCTCATTAAAAAAATGGGCAAAGGCAATCACAGACATTAGGAAATTTGGTTCACTATTATTTGGGATATCCATGGCAGTCTGGGAACCTCAGCAGTTTCTCTATGCTCTGAAAAGTGCTACTTGTGTTCTTAGAAATGGCATGAGCGAGGTGGCCAGCATGTATGTTAACAGCAGAGACAAAATGAGGTGGCTGTGGACAAAACAACCTATATCTGGAATAGAATGCAAGCGATTTTGTGTCCTCTTAAATGTGAGATGTAGAACATAATAGATTAAGCAGCTGAATTTCTGTATGTAGTTTTTAAAGCTGTCTAGGAAACTTGGAACACCATTTTCATTTATTTGGAACAAGTGGCTGACTCATTTGTCTGCCTTGAAAAACCTCTGTAACTGTTCCTGACTGGAATAAGATGAATATTCTGGAAGTCATTGCTCTTGTGAAAGAGTAAAGAAGTACAGAAAGTCACAGAGCTCCTGTTAATACCAAATCTCACTAAATATAATATCAGTTTGGAATATGTTAAAGGATGCAAACTTCTCCTAGGTACAATAGCAGCTTTAAAATGTCCACTCTTTCAAGAAGATTGATGTGGCCAAGTCTCGTCCCTCATGGATTTTGTCCTTTGTACAAAATTTGGGGTAGCTAGATAAAAGGTCTGCTCTAGATTCAGACCTTTGACACTGAATGTTATATTCAGTAGGACGGAACCAAAATCAGAAGATCCTTGAGCATGGAGAAAATTGACATATCAAATTGTATCCCACAGCCCTTGCACACCATGAGGATTGAGTTTTCCCTTAATAATATGTAAAGATTTATTAGGTCAGTCTCTAAAAGAAGTGTTTAGCAACTATAGAGACAATATGCTCTAATTGAGGGGCACAATTTTTTTCCTTCAAATGCAATTTTTTTTCCCCTAGCTGGTTGCTTTACCTATAGTCATAAATTCTCTTTAGCCTTTTTAATATACTATTATATTTCACATGGGAATACAGACAGACTTTAATGCAATTACTAAATAGGGTTTTAAAACCTTTAACTTTTTAAATTGGAATGTTTTGATTTTTCATTTGTCTGTTTTAGAAGCCTTTAATGAACTGTACCATTGAATTTCATGTTGGTTGTGAAGGAGATCATCTGTGGCAAGTAACATTTCTAGTAAGGGAGAATGTCACAGTCAGTTTTGTTGGATACAGGCATGTCACACTGGAGACAATGGCTAGAAGCACCAGTCACCTGAAGAGGGGAACCTGCATTAAGTGGCCCACTGGGTAGATGAACCATGTTTGATAACCTTTGGAATAATGACAAAAGTGAACTCTCCTTGACAGACAATAAACTAATTTAATTTTTAGTCACAATGCGTTAAACTTTCAAAGTTACTAAGAAAGCAACACCTGGATAAAAATGTCATTGAGCACTAGGGTGCAGTTAGGAGGCAGTGCCTTGATGGAAGGAGGGCAGCTGATTAGTACCAGGCCAGTGGTAGCTGTGCTGGCCTCCTGTGTGCAAACAAGGCTAAGAAGGGGTTCCCTCCCCTCTTTCTCTGGAGCCAAGCACAGTCCTCACCTATGAGCTGCTTTGTTTTGGCTATGGGGGCAAGACAGCAGCAATGCCTTATATGTTCTGCACCAGTCAGAACCACAGTTTGGGCAAATTCGGTACCAAAGAGTGCAATAAGGTTCACACAGGATCACACAGGGCAAATATATTCCCTTGGCCCTTGCTTCCACCTCCCACATTATGCAAGTGAGCAGGGCAGGGTTAGGAAAACTGTGATTTATAATGTTGGTGGTAGGTGGAACAGGGGAGACTGTGGGACCAAGGGAGCCAAGTATTTTAAGCATCTGTTATAGGCCTATGCCAGATGCAGGATACCAGACAAGATGTGCCATTTGTCTGTTCTTGAATGGAATTTCCTATGTCCCTAATACCAAGCAAACTCTGTTTATTTACAATATAACTAATTCTGGTTTTGTAGAGATGATATACAGCACATTTAATGTTTTTACTTTCACAATGACATTTAAACACTTAAAAAGTTATTTACTTAGCTGTGTAAATTCAGTCAGGAGGCTGTTTTGCTTTGTCATGAGTGAATCTGTAATGGCTGGAAAACTACTCAGTTTAGGGAGGCTGCCTTTTGTAGTTTCCTGAAGTACAAATTTTTCTTGTCTGGGTTAAAAATGGGACTTGGGTTCTTAGAAGTCCTGTGTCAGGCAGTGATTTCAAGTGACTGTTTGCATGGGTACAGAGAGAAGAATGATTTGGGAAACGCTGACTGTTCTCTCCTGACAGTGAATTTTCTTCCAATTCTAAGTGATTATATTTAATAAGTAATTCCAATTATTTCCTGAAGGAATACACAGGAATTCATAAACAAAACATTTTCTCAGAATATGTAAATTCAAAATGACAGCTTCCTAGTGGAAACGCAAGCGTTAGTAGTAAAAGGAAATGTCTCCCAATTCTTGGAGTGCATTTCTTGACAAATTTTTGACAGAAACACAGACTTCCCAGAGCAACAGCATCTCATAATGAGACTGATTATCTGGAGTTGATTATCCTACCTCTAAGTCTCTGTGCAATCTTGTTAATAGAAAAGATGTAAGCCACAAATTACATTTAAGACCAGGAGAGAAATTCAGTGCTGATATATATAGCTCGAAAAGCAAAATGGAACAGCCTCACTGTCCCAAGACCTGGACTCCAGAGTAAGCCAATTGCACAGAAGGGTCCATCTTTTGCATATCAACCTTGCTTACTGTCAACATCCTTCCCTGTCACCAATGGAATTCCTGTTTGCTCTTGCTCCAAAGGCACATCAGGCTGGACTATCAAACCTGCCAGCCTTTTTCACGGGTCCTTGCTGGTACCTCTGCTCCGGTGTCATGTCTCCCAGTCCTTTACCAGCAGGCTGTGCCCTGATTACCTCACTGCTCTCTGAACTAAGACCTTTCTTTGAACTGTTGCTAGATTTTGAGTTTACAGGAGGTGACACCCAAGACAGACTTCTTGACCTGGGCCCTCAGTTGACCCCAGCTTTTTCACTGAAATGCCTTGATTTCTCTTGGGACAAGAAAAGAGAGTTTAAAATAAATAAAAATCCACAAGACAGAAGAAGTGAAAAGTTGTAGGGATGAATTTACTAACAAAATGGTAAGGCCCACAATACAACTAATCATAAATCAAGTTCCTCCGTGACATTCCCTCTAACATTTTAGGTCACAGCATACATCAAAGCATGTGCCATTAACAGCCTGCATCAATGTGCTTCTCGAGCTCTTCCCTTCCTGCCTCAATTTATCTGTTTGTAAAGCTGAGGTTGGATTATTAGACTGGGGCAGTGCTCTGAAGTCCAGCTTCTGACAAGAGTTGTTAACAATTACTACAGAAGATGTCAGAATCAAGTGAAAGCAGCCATTCAACAATCAAAGTACAAATCGCAACCATTATTTATATTGTGTGCTATTGCAGGTACAGAACTAGCAAAGCAGAAAAAGGTTCACACTTGCTTCCAAAAAAAAAAAAAAGAAAGAAAGGTTTTTCCAGTACACTTTGCTGGTTTTAGCTGCAGCTAGAAAAGATACAGCTGGGGTTTTCGGCTTATACAGCTTGAAGCTTGAGCTCAATATTCAGCAACACCTTAGTCGGAGCTGTTTTACAAAACTATTTTACTGTAAACATTTTCATTCAATAGTTACCATGTGATATCTGTGCTCCCTTAAAGCATACTAGTGACGGGTTTCTTATCTTCATATTGCCTGAATGGTCAAACACTTACTTGGGAGGTGGTCTGAAAGCTGGGGACAGAGGCAAGACAGACAACTTTTAATGAAAGCTGGATTCTGACATGGAGTCCTGTGATAGACAGTCCAACAAGCTGCTGCTGAGTGACACATCTCAACTGGCAGCTGAATGAATATAGTCAGTATGAAGAAGAAGTTTTAAGTTAGCCTTTAGCTCATGGCTTTGAAAACTGTCATTTGCAAATGGATCCCACACAAACAGGTCATAAAATAGAGGATCCACACTGGGGCTTGGGGATTTTGCACACATTTACACT